GCTTCTATCTGACATAATCCGTGTGTTGTTCTGAAGAATGGTTTCTGAGTGGTAAACCTCAATTTTTGTTTGTCAGAAAAATGCCCTTTTTCCCTTTTTCTAGAGTGATAGTTTAGCTGGGTATAGAACTGTAGGCAACTTGTATTTCGCGCAGCGGTTTAAGGTACCTTAGTGCCTCCTGGCTTCCTCTTGTTGCTGCTGCTGTCGAAAAGGTAGCTCTCAGTGCAGCGGTGTCCCTCCTCAGGGAGCCTGTCTCTGCTGTCTTGGCGCTTTTGTGATCTTGTCTGGTGGATGTTCTGGTATTTTGCCACAGTGTGTCTGGTGTGGGTAAGCACTTGCCCTGCGTGGGACTGAGCATGTGTTTAAAGTCTGAGGCCTCTTATGTCCCTGGGATTCTGGAATATTCTCTTCTCTGCATTATCTCCGTTCTGTACTTCAGGAGTTCGCACTAGACCTGTGATGGACCGTCCTGTTCTTTTCTCCATGCCTCACTCCCTCTGCCCCCTTTTGCACTGCCCTCAGGTTGTCTAGATCTAGCGTCGAGTTCGTTATTTCTGTCCTTAGCTGTATCTAGTCTGCTATTTTTGATTCTAGAAAATTCTTTCAGCAATTTTCCATTTCTTTCTCCAGGGTTCCTGAATGGGCTATTATCATTTCTTTTCTCCATTTAATACCTTATTTTTAAAACGTGTGTTTTGTAGTCTCTGACAGGTTGTTTTAACATGTGCGGGCGTCTTGGGGTCCTTTCTGGTGTGCTGTGTTGGCCGATTCTAGCAGAGCTGAGTGCCCCGCCTCCCATCTGTAGTTTTCTGTTTTCACTGCAGGTTCTCTTTGGCAGGGGGGCTCCCCCCACCCCCTGAGCTCCACACCCACCTCCCTCCCGTTCACCCTGCTTTGGGTACCTCGTGGTGGTGGGTGTGTCTGTGGAAGGGCATTTTGTTTTTGCTGTCCTTCATCTCCAGGTTCTCCCAGCTCTAGACTAGTTTTTACCTTAATTTCTAGACTCAGGACTCCAGAACCGCCCAAGTGATGTGAATCTGGAGGCCATCCACATGGCCACAAGCTTAGGGCTTCATTTTCTCAGAGGAGACTCTTCCCAGCCACCCTCTGCTGCCTCCTTGGCCTGGTGGGTAGAGAGGTCCAGTCCCATTTTCATAGATCCCATGGCCCTGCCGGAGCTCTGTCCTTATGCAGGGGTCTGGGTTCCAAGTCTCTGTTGGGACAAGCTCATGGCCACACCTCCTGCCCACCCCAGGGCCAGCTCTGATGACTGTCCCCAGGTCCAGGCAGCCGCATCTTTGTGCACTTGCTCAGGGAGGGTACCTTGATTCTGTCTTGCCCTCTTGGTAACTGGGGTCTCTTCTTTCTTCCTTTCTTCCTTTCTTCCTTTCTTCTTTCCTTCCTCCCTCCCTCCCTTCCTTCCTTCTCCTTTTGAGCTCAATTCTGTGTCTAGAGTTGGGGTGGGACTTTATTCTGTCTCCTGGTCACCATTTCCATATTCTTGCAGTGGGAGGTGAGGGGTCCTTAGTGCGTAAGTCCAGCAAGGCTCCGGAACCTGAGTTATGATCCACTTTGTACATTGTTCGACTCTGTGTTTTGGACACTAGCAGTATCTATGTTTCCCAAAGTGTGAAATTGGTTTTTGCTACAGGTGCCCTGTGAATTTGGAACGTCAGCCACGTGGCCCGGATTTTACCACAGTGATTTCCAGTTCCTCTTTCCTGTAGCTGAGTTAAAAGGGCTGCCCTTTTTTCTGTCTGTGGATGCTTTCACTCTAGACCAGCCCTGACCGGGTACCACCTGAGGGTGCTCATTCTAATTGCAGGCTGCCTTCCTGCCTCAGTAGCCGGACATACTGCGTCTGTACAGGCCAGAGGCATTGGGCAGTTAAGGAAGGCTGCTGTTCATGGGTTTTGTTTTGGTGTGATTCCTACAGATTCCCTTTGCCCATGATTCTCCTCACTGTTGGCAAATGAGTGCACGGAGGGGTACGTGATTTTTTCCCTGAGTTGAGTTTCGAGTGATGCATCTGTTCCAAGAATGATCATACCTTATGAAAAAACGGAGCTAGGTCATCAATTCTGCTTCACTGATAAGGGAGGTGAACTTGGGGGTAGAGATGTGCTCAGGCTCCGGCTCTGCTCGGTGCCTGGAGGGTGCACCAGACGCCTGCCGGGCAGCGGGAGGTGCGGGCGGCTGAAGCAGGTAGAGCCCCCACCGCCTCGGCCTGGGGGGGTGCTGTTCACCCTGAAACCCAGGGCAGGCGGAGCGTTAACTGCTGATTCGCTGGCAGGGAGCAGTCTGGACAGTAAGAGTGCACAGGTATGTGGGGGTGGGGTGCTTTGTTTCTGCTTTTTCTTAATTCAAAAATTACTCCATTACAGAGCACAGAAGATGAGGGATTCTGGTCTAAAATTTGGATGTATCTGTTCTTCAAACTATGAAGCTTTCAAAATTTGGAAGGATTGTTTAACACAGCCATTTTTCGCAGAGCGGCTATTTGGAAGGAGTCTGCCCCTGCCTGATTTGGCCTGGGGCCCCATCTGCGCCCTCGGGGAGAAGTGGCGGGGAGGTGGTGCGCACGGGACCTCAGGGGGCGTTGGAGCTCTTGGGGCAGAAGCCTCCCTCCTGCTCTGCTCTTTCCCCTTTCGATTCCCCTCCTTCAACGCCGTGGAGCCTGGGGGACGCCCAGCCTGCGGACGGGAGTTGGGGGGAGGACCGCCCCGGCGGCCTTTGTCTCTGCAGCACCCGGTCCTGCGAGCCAGGTGACAGCCAGGCTGGCTCATCGCATCCCGCCAGCCCTGCGAGGTGCAGAGTGTCCTTTCACCCGTTGTTCAGATGTGAAAAATGATGTCAGGTTGTTGGAGTGAGGTCAAGGGCACCCTGGAACAGGCCTGGGCTTTGGCACCAGGCTCCCGGCTCTGAAGCTCGGTGCCACCCACCGAGGATGCCCAGGACTCCCCAGTAATCATGCAGAAACCACAAGCTGAAAAGCAGGGAGAGGACAGGAATCCGTACCCTGTCACTGACATCAGCACAGGCAGCGTCCAACAGCAAAGTGTGCTCCCGCCGGTGCCACTATTTTAGAAGGTTCAAATAGAGCGCGGCAGAGTGATCGGTGTATTTTTAGAAACAGGTTTGTGATGTGTAAAACGGTAGTGAGAGGCGTAGTGAGGTCAGTCAGTCTGGGTTCGGGGAGCTGTGGTCTGGGGAGCGCCTCCACGTGATGTGTCACAGAGACACAGCAGATTCCTGCAGGTCGTACCCAGCCCTCCGGAGGACCCGGGAAGCCAGTTCTGTGGGAGGAAGGGGTGCGCTGTGGGACTTAAGCACGAAGCAGCCTCACGTGCACACGGACACCCCTGAACAACGGGCAGTCCTCTGCAGCGGGAGCGCGTCCTCCAGGCAGTGAGGGCACACGTGCGTCGTGGGGCAAGTGACGGCGTGGTCGTGGCTGCGCACGGCCTGCCTGGGAGACTCCAGTCTCTCCGCACAGCAGCTAAGATGCTAACAGCTGTGCCTTTGCCGCGTGGGATTTGAGTGTCCCCTTCTTGTTTTTATAAAGTTATGCTTTAAAAAACTAAGAACTTCGATACAGTTTTACAAACAACATGCTGGATATTCTTAGGCAGTATGAGAATGAAAGAAAGCGAGACGTCCTGAGACGGGGCAGAGCTCAGCTGGGAGCCCCGCTCCCGCCCTGCGGCAGGCCCTCTGCCCACGGCCGGCCCACCACGGGCGCTTCTGTGAGCGCCACGCTCCGGAAGGGCCGGGGACCTGTGAGGAGGCCCTCTTCCAAGTTGCCGGCTACATCCGCAGGTTGACTCGAGATGAACGGTGGGGTGCACAGTGGAGGCGGTACCGCGTGGGCAGAGGAGGCCCGTTTCTGAGTCCTGGATCTGGCAGCCCCTCTCCTGGCCTGATTCCCGAGCCAGTCCTCTGCTGTCTTCCTTTGGCTGTGACCTCTGGCAGCGGGGGTCCTGCTGGAACGGGACAGTCCTGTGTCAGGCTCCGAAAATGATCCTTCCCCTCCAGGCTGCAGGCAGAGGGCAGAGCCTGGCAGCTTCCGGGTGAGAAGCTCCTTTCCTGGACCTTCCAACATCGGGCCCTTGAAATACACTTTTCCTCGGAGATGTCACACGTCCCTGCTGAGCACGAGCCCTGGAACCGGCGGGACTCCCGGGGCTCCCTCACCAGCGGCACGCAGTTCAGGACCCTGTTTTGATTCTGCACATACTGCTCCTGCCCCTGGACAAGCTCCTGCAGTCTTGAGCCCGTGATGGTCCCCAGCAGCAGATGGTGACTGGTGTCCACCCTGTGGAGCTGCCCTGACAGCTACCGGGAGGGTGGGCAGTTCTTGGGTCACCCAGCATGAGTGCCTGGTCACACTGCTACAGCCTACAGTTCACTGTCGCCCATCACCCACTGGTTCTGGGGAGGGCCCAGCGCCCAGGACGAAACGGGGATGTTGCTTGGATGTGTCCTCCACGCCTGTGGCCCCTGATGGCAGACTCTCTGCCTTTGTCGGCATGGGGGTGCCAGGTGCCAGGCTCCGGACAGCGTGCTCGCCAGGGAAGTGAGGCTAAGCCAGGATGTTTCATTTAACGTGAGGACACGTGTGCAGCCCAGAAGGAAGCGTACAGCATCTTCAGAGTGTGATAGGTGCTCAGCTGCCCTGGGAGGTGCCTGCTCTGCAGCGCACGGCAAGGTCTCGTCCTCCAGGTGACGGTTAAGCTCTGAAACAAAGAACCTCCATCAGACAGTGCGTCTCAGTAACGGACGAGAGACACGAGAGCCGCCTAGGTCCGTGGAGCCTGCTGGCACCGCGGGGGTGACTCTGTGGTTTCTGGGGGGACAATGTGTCGTCTGAGTTCCTGTTTTCCTTTAGTGGCTTCCCTAGAGGACTTAGTATTCCAGAAGAGCGCACCCGCCCAAGACGCTGGTGTCGGGAGGGCGGGAGTTGGGATGGCCGTGAAGAACGCTGCTAAGCTTCCACTTACAAAATGAGCAAGTCCCAGGGGTGCTGTGTACAGCACAGGGAGCGAAGTCAGCGATGTTGTGACGACTTTGTGTGGTGACGGATGGTAACGGCTTATCGTGATGAACGCTCTGTAATGTGTAAAAATGTCAAATGACCGTGGCACATCTGAAACTAATACAGTGTTGCAAGTCAATTACATTTTAATTAAAAGTGAATCAGTAAAAAGCATTTCAAGGAAAGAATGCGTTAAGGATGGAGGTGGCGGGGAAGAGCAGCGCGCGGACTTACCGACTGGAAAGACGAGCGGAGCAAACCGAGTGGAGGTATTTACTAACTGGAGTTCTGAACCGATGGCAGATCCTGAGCTTTTTTTTCTCCTGAGAAAATCATAGAGGAAGGGTCAGGGGAGGTTTAGAAGCTGTTTGCTCTCCAAAGTGACGAGCAGATCTCCCAGAATGAGCAGGGTCAGCGATCTATGTCCTTGGTTTCCTGTCTTCGCCCCCGCACGAGCCCACCCGCCCAGCCTTTCCCGGTCTCTCTTAGCGCCGTGAATGGCCTTGCCTCCCATGTGGCTACTGGAAATTTACAATGGCTGCCTTCCACACAAATCCCAAGTCAGCCCACTGGCCCAGCTCCGTGCGACTGCCCTTCTCTGGGCTCCTGGCTCTTCTTCCAGCTTCCGTTCTCCCTCTTTGGGCCCTCCTGGCCTTGGTTGATGTTCTGTGCAGCAGCAGAAGTGAGCCTTTAAAACACACGTCAAAAGACAGTCTCACAGTGGCCTTCAGGTGCCGCTGCCTCCCTGACCCTGTTTCTCGCACTGCGACCCGCTGCACGGACCCCACCAGGTGTGCTCCATCCCAGGCCCTTTGCACGTGCTGTCGGATGCTCTTCCTTGGAATAGTTTACATGGTTCCTTCTTGCCTATCATTCAGGTGTGTGCTGAGATGTCACCATCTCACAAGGGCCTATCTAAAGGAATAAACCTCGTCACCCCCTGCCCATGTGACTTATTTCCAGCACACGATGCCACGAGAGCTGTTTATGGTCACCTCCTCTGCGCTAGTGGGAGTTTGGGGTTCCGGGACTTGGCGTCGCTCAAGGCTGCACCCTGGAGTTAATGACAGTCAGTAACTAGTTCTGTTGAATTTGCTGAATGGATGGATGATGGGCCAGCATGGGGAGGCAGGGCCTTGGCATTCCTGGCCTGACTGTGCCGACCTTCACCATCTCTCTGGCCGACCTTCTTTGTCTTTAAAAGGCAGATGATCATAGTATTTTTGCCGTTCGTCTCCCGGCTGTGGACTGACCGAGCTGATAGGAAGAAGACTTACATGAGCGTCTAAGTCATAAAAAGTGGCTAATTGGCTAACTGGCTGTTAGTTCTGACTTAGAATGTCAGCTTCAGTCACAAAAAATGTACGTGAAATATGCTTTTCATGAATTGAAGCAAATACTGTCCTAAAGAGAGCTGGAGAGAAAGTCTTTAACCCCGAGATGCTGTGGCCACCGCACCCGGTCGGCGGGCATTGCGGACGAGACCCAGGGGCGCGGGTCCCTCAGGCAGCCGCTGCTGGGCCAGCCCGGTGGCTCTCAGGCGCTGCAGCCCCGGGCGTGAAGCCTTACTGGAGCCTGCCGGATGCTCGGTCACTCTGAAGCGGTGCCTGAAAGGGGACGGCCCACGGGATCCTTTCCAGTGCAGAGAGCAGCAACGCTTGTGAGGCCAGCAGGGCCCGCGGCCCTGGTCTCCGCCTCCCGCCTCCTGGGGCGTGGTCCCCGCGGACACTCCCAAGCCACACACTCAGCATCCCCGCAGACCTTCTCCAAATGGCCGTTGGGGCTTACTGTTTTCAGTTAGTGACTCACTTCTCGTGAGCTGCTTATTAAAATGTACCTATTTTCCAGCTTCCTGTCCCTTAACCACAGACACCTTCCAGCTGATTTTCAGGGCCCAGCAGTGTGGAAAGTGTTCTGGGAGGCGGCTTCATCCACCACGTGGCTTCACTTGCTGACTCACATTTTCAGGAGCTGCTTCTGCCCGATCAGATGTCTTGTTGTGGGATGGGACGTGCGTTCTCTGCGCAGGCGGGACTGCGCGCTGATGTCGCAGGGGTGCCTGGGACGCGGGAGAGCGTGTTTTCTGCCTTGCCCGTTATGTGTGTTATTTTATTTACTCCTGTGTTGGTGTACATTCCACTTAAGTCACGAGGAAACTGAGTCCGAGTTGAAGCCACACGATCACAACTGAAGCTCAGTGTGAGGTGGAAGCCAGCCTGTCCGACCCTGAGCCCCCCGGGCCTCAGGACACAGCCTGCTCCCACGCAGAGGCCCCTCCGTCCGGGTGAGGGGGTGAACTCAGGTGGGAATTGTGTTCCTCAGGTCACTCGACAGTTAGGAGGTGTTAGTTCAGAAAACAGGACATCCGCAGGGGACCAGCAGCGGGGGCTCAGCTGACCTGGGTCTGCCTCTGGATCTGCCCCGCGTGCAGGTTGCTCTGAGCAGCCGGAGAAAGTGGTTATCGACAGGTAGCGTCAGGGCGAGTTTCCCGTCCCTGCTGGTGGTGTGTGACTTGTCTCTACTAATGTGATCGCAGGTGTGTATCCAGAAACAGTTCTGTCTTAGTCTTGGAGATACGGGTTCCCTGCGTGCTCCCTGGGGTTCTCTTACTCAGACGCTGAGAGACCCGCCCATTTTGCTCTGATGTTACTCCCCCCCCCAGGCCCCCAAGTTCTCTGCAAAGCAGTGCTGAGTGGCCCACCCGGCCCCGCCCCGCGGGGCAGCCAGGCGCCCTCCTTCTGCTCACGAGGGCGGGCGGGCCAGGACGTGTTCTCCGATTTTCTAGCTCACTTACCAACGGCTGAGCTGGGCCTCCGCGTGGTGGGAACAGCTGGGAGCTGGTGTCTCACTGGGAAGGGGGGAGGAGCAGCCCGGCCCCGAGGACCGTCCGGAGACTTGCTGAGAAACTCCCCCCAGGAAGTGCTGCCGCGGACCGGGGAGGACCAGGGGGGGGCAGAGCCAGCTCTGTCTGGCCTGCGGGCGGTGGCCCGCGCGGCTGTGCTCCCGCACCCTCTCCCTCGTGGCTCCCGCGCTGGTCCTTCCCCGGCTGGGCCGGCCCCTCCCGGTGTCCTCCCCTCCGCCAGAGCCTTCTGTCCTGGGTTGTCCCTCTGAGAGGAGCGGCCAGGCGTCGCTTCCCCGCTTTTGAAATTTCCCAGAGAAGAGTCCCAAGTGGCAGGCCACGACTCTTCCTCCGCCCCCGGCTCCAGCCTCTCTGCCTGGGGTCCGAGGATCTGGAGCAGAGGCCGCTTGGACATCTGTCCTGTTTGCCTGGACTAAGTCTTTGGTGTCAGAAGGTGGGCCCTGCTGTGTGAGCGGGCCTCCGCCATGCCACGTGGACCCCGCGCTCCAGGCGGGACAGGCCAGGGCGTGTGCCCTGTCGCCGGGGCTGGGCTCAGTGCGGCATCCGCTGGGCCCTCCGTCCTGCTCGGTGTCGCAGCTCAGATGCCCAGGACGTGTTTGTTGAGTTGTGTGTGAGCCGGGAGGGTGGGCCTGCTGGCACTGCTAGGGGCTGGCAGTAAACTGGAGAGTGTCAGGGTACTAGAGAGGGAACCGGGGAGGATGAAGACTTAGCAGGTCCCGCAGGCACCGGCCATCGACGACAAAGCCAGGGCTTGTCTTGCCAGCTCTCAGAAGCTCTTTTATCGGGAAGAATGTCAAACCCATATAAAAGAGATCTTGACTCCCAGTCACACGGTGAGACCCCCTGTGCCCCTCAAAACCCTGAGCGTTTGGACCACCCCCACCTCCCCAGCTTTATTTCCTAGAGAATTTAAAACAAATCCCCGATGCCACATAAAAACATCAGTGTGTGTTTCCAACAGAAATAAACCCATTATCACACTCCCCAGGATGAATAATTCCGAAACATCTTCTTGTATCAAGCTATGTTCCCTTTTCACCAGTTGTGTTAACAAAATGCCTTTTTCCAGCCATTTGTTGAAATCAGGGTCCCCTCTGCAGTCTTCAACCTGTAGCCCGTGGCCCCGCCGCCCCCGCCAAGGAGCTGGGGCGTCTGTCCTGTAGACTCTGTCCCCACACTGACTGGTTACAGCCTCCTGGTGTCCTTTGAACATGTTCCTGTAAGCTCGTATTTTCTATAAACTGGCAGTTTGACTGTCAGAGGCCAAGAATGCCTCAGATCATCCCTGACCTTTTCAAAGTCTGCCCAGCTTTCCTGAAGGAAAAACAGTGTTTAGCAAGAACAACAGTGTGCCTCTCATTTTCACTTTCTCTGATAAATGCACGTAAGTTGTGTTGGACGTGCCTCAGGAATTCATAACACTTATCTCATTAAAGTTTAATTCCTATTAATGGGCACACAAGCTTTATTATAGAACTTTGCTATTTTTCCATAACTTGCGTGATGCAGAGGAGAAACATTTAATGGGTTGGAATGCTGGAGGCTCTTAGCAAAACTCACGGGGGAGGTGTCTTCCTGGTGGGCCAGTGCTGGTATGGGGGGAGGGGGCACTGCTGGATGTGGGCTGGGAGGGAGGGAGGGCGGCCCGTGGTGCCAGAGGGGTGGGGGGCCTTTCAGCAAAGGAGGGGGGCCGGGGGGCCGAGTCCTGCTGGGGAGGGAGCGTGAGACCGCTCCGGGGCGTTCACGTCAGGGGACGGGCCCGGGGGAAGGTGAGTGTTCTGCTGACCTGAGGAATCATTTCCGTCTCCGAGCTGTGACATTTTATGGGTAAAATGTCAAACTTCCAGTGGGAGGATTCCAGGGCCCCACAGGCCAGGTGCAGGGAGTGCCGGCCTCACCTGGACGTCGAGGGACACCCCACGAGTTCCCCGCTGAGTCACAGCGTGGAGGGGCCCTGCACCCCTTCGCCCCGC